CTGATATCTCCTCAAGCATGCTAGATGAACTTGTTAGCGTTTCTTTTCACCTCGGTAGAGCTTGTTTTTTTCTAAAATACCGCGAACGTGGAACAATCTGTCAGATGAGACAATACTTCGAGCTTTTTAGGCTCTATCTCCGTGGCTGTTCCAGTATACAGTATCCAGTATAAATGTTTAATAGCTTAAAAATTATTACAACTATTCAAAACCTTACTATTATACCATTAACAAAATTAATCGAATGGTGTATTTCATGTGGTATATTTCCTGATATTTTCAAACTGTCAAAAGTAATCTCTTTATGTTTAAAAAAAGCGATTCCAACGATCTTTCAAATTATAGACCTATTTTACTTATACCACTTGCTAAGATACCTGAGATTCTTTGGATAGGTCAGCTGATTGACTATTTTGAAAGCAACAACCTATCTACTGACTGTCAATTCGGTTTCAGAGTAGGGTAGTCTACGAGTCTAAAGTTAGGGTTTTCCTTTACACGACGTGTAGATCTTGAAAACATATGCAATTTTTCTTAGTACCATATACACCAATGTCTTAAGGGAACCGAGATAAAGGGCTCTGCAACATCAAAAATATCTGAATACCGTCCTGTAGCCGCGAGCCGCGACATCCCCGAGTGGTACAAGGTCACTAGCTCAACCCGACGACAGAACTGGGTAGGGGTCAGTGTGTCAGGTCAGTATGCAACCTTCAACCGACAGTTACGGTCCCTCAACAAGCACTAGAGACGTGGCTAGAGAAGTGCAAGTATCAAAAGCTAAAGTGTGGTAAACGCTGCGTGAAGAGGGGCTGTATCCGTTTCATGTCCAACGTGTACAAGCCCTTCAACCTGACGATTTTCCAGCAAGAGTGCGGTTTTGTGAGTGGTTGTTGCATCAACATGACAATAATCCGGACTTTTTGAAGTGCATATTGGTGACAGACGAATCTACGTTCACGCGTAATCGGGTGAATAACTTTCGCAACACTCATGATTGGTCAGTAGAAAATCCGCACGCTGTCCGTCCGGCACATTTTCAACAAACATTTTCGGTGAATTTTTGGGCTGGCATGGTGAACGATATGCTCATTGGACCATTTATTCTCCCAAATCGATTGGACGGGATGCAATACCTAGACTTTTTACGCAACATTTTGCCTTCCTTGTTTGCCTGCGTCTGCTCGGTAGCGCATCAGCTGATTTCATTTTTTGTTGGAGCGGTATGATTTCGGGCAGAGACGTACTTAGCCCTTCTCGTCAACTGGAGAGTGAGTACTTTTTCCTTTATTTTTTTTTTACTTGGTCGCCCTCGTTTCACTACACATTACCTTTGTTATTTCAAGGGTAGTTGTTTCTGAAAAGGAAAACACCAACTTTGCGGACACCCTGTATAGCTATTGACAGCTTCATTGAGAAAATAAATGCACCTTTTGAAAGCGGTGCTCATTACTTAGCTAATTTTTTTGATCTTATGGTTTTCTAATATGTTCACTATGACATTCTTTTACAAAAATTGTCGCATTATAAGCTCCATGGTAGTAGCATTATCTTGTCACCTTATTTGATCAACAGACAGCAGCTTATAACCGTCAACAACACTACCTCCAGTACAATGACAGTTTTATGTGGCGCCCACAGGGTGTTGTGCTGGGTCCACTTTTATTCTTAATGTACATAAATGACCTTTCTAATTCTCATACAAAACAACATCTTTTACTGTTTGTCGCTGAAATAAAAAGGCAAATCGATTGATCTACCGTTATTTGTCAATATTGAATATATAATAAATTTTGAAAATTGGGTTTTATCAAATAAACTTGCACTTAATGCTTCAAAGACACAGTCCATAGTAATAAGTTTGCGTCAATACCATAGTCACGATCAAATTTGTGGATGTTAGTGTTGATACACACATGACTTGGAATGAACACGTAAACAGTATTCTCAGGCACTGCATCACAGTCAACATACTATAAGTATCCTTTCTCTTCCATCTCTATATATATATTTATCTGCTTATGTTATGTACACAACAATTTGGATCTATACAAAATGTTCAGTGATGTACATACATAGTTACAATAAACGTAACATGTTTAAGTTAGATATTCATCGTCTACAAAGAACTAGAGGCGGTTCTAACTGCTATGGAATCCAGTTTTATAATTTTCTTCCTAAGGCACTCAGAATGTCTGGCATCGGCTCATTTAAGTACGGAATTAAAGCCTTCCTTATCAAGAAAGCGTTTTGTAACATCGAAGAATGTTTAATTAATAGTTTTTCGGATATCTTAAAGTAGTGTTGTAGTGTGCTTTTTTACTTTTACTCTGTTAATGTGTTCGGATGTGCTTGTTCGATAGTTTTGTATTTATTTTCAATTCGTAATATCATTTTACAGTTTTTCTGTTACTGTTTTATGTTAGTGTTGTTTTTTTTCAACAAATTTTATTGTTGTGTGAATTTACACTTTTGTATTTTAACTTCTACTTTGACCTGTGTAAGCACGCAAGTATATTAAGCACCAATAAAGAGATGAGATGGAACGAAAAATGAAATGAAATGAAATGAAATGAAATGAAATAATAATAATAATAATAATAATAATAATAATATTTATTTACTCTAAAATACAGGGAACATGAAACGAGTAAATAAATATAATATATCCATAGGAGGACAACGCCTGTGCATGGATCATATGTATGTTGAATTGCAAAATATAATAAAACAGAGAGAAAAAAGAAATTATTGGTAAGAATGGTAGAGCATTTATTGTGTAATATTTGAGATTATTTTATTAACTTGATTTCTCCCAATCGTGTTAATAAATTTTTTTAATTTTTTTTTGAAGCCTAATATATTGCGTAATTGTTTTAAATTATTTGGTAAATGTTCGTACAATTTTGGAGCTATATACAGGTGACATCGTTTCATTAGGGATTTGTTTGGTTTAGGAACATTTTTTGCGCGTAATTTATATCTGGTTTTATCATTATGTTTAATTATGTCGTGTTCACTAATAGTTTTGTGATAATGAGTGATGGTATGTAAGAAGTAAAGTTGTTTAGTATCATATACTTGTGCATCATTATATAAGTCATTAGTTGGGTATAATTTTGATTTGCCTAACAGGCATTTTAAAATTCTTCTTTGAAGTACATCTAAATCGTTAAAGTATGTCGTGCATGCAGCACCCCACATTACTATACCATATGTTATGTGTGGCTTGACTAAAGCTTGATATATTATTCGTAGATAATATTCAGTTAATATACCGGTTAGAAATTTTATTTTATATGCTATGAATCTAATTTCTTTAGTATGTGAGAAATATGTACATCCCATCTCAAGTGGGGATCTAGATATATTCCTAAATATTTTTGTATCATAACTCATTGATTTTTATTATTTTTATCATTTACCTTAAACCGAAGGTGGTTATATTTTGGTAGATGATTAGATAGTGATGAAATGGTAAAAAATGAGTGTTAGTAAAGTTAATTGTTAATTTTCGGTTATTAAACACTGAATAATTTTGCAAAACGTCATTTTGGATAATATCTTTTTAAGTCGTTCCAATCCTTACCTTTATAGAGTTATAGCAGTATCGTCTGCACAACTGACTATTTTACCAGTACTGTTAACTTTGAATATATCGTTTAAATAAATATTGATAAACAGAGGACCCCAAATTGTACCTTGTGGAATGAATGAAATTGAACGTGAATAGTGAAATGAAATGAAATGAAGTGAAGTTGAAGTGAAGTGAATGAAATGAAATGAAATGAATGAAATGAAATGAATGAAATGAAATGAAATGACTAAATGAAATGAAAGGAAATGAAATGAATTTGAATGAAATGAAATGAAATGAAATGAAATGAAATGAAATGAAATGAAATGAAATGAAATGAAATGAAATGAAATGAAATGAAATGAAATGAAATGAAATGAAATGAAATGAAATGAAATGAAATGAAATGAAATGAAATGAAATGAAATGAAATGAAATGAAATGAAATGAAATGAAATGAAATGAAATGAAATGAAATGAAATGAAATGAAATGAAATGAAATGAAATGAAATGAAATGAAATGAAATGAAATGAAATGAAATGAAATGAAATGAAATGAAATGAAATGAAATGAAATGAAATGAAATGAAATGAATGAAATGAAATGAAATCAAAGGAAACGGAAACGGAAACGGACATGGAGGCGGAAACGGAAGCGAGAGCGGGAGCGGCAACGGAAACGGAAACGAAGCGACATGAAACGAAACGAAATGAAATAAAATGAAATGATCTATCGGATAGCCCTCCTTTTAACAGCATCGAGTATGGATAATGTAGTCGGCGTGACAGCACCCCAAACATGTGAGCAATACTCGAGGCTCTTTCTTATCAGGCCTTGTTCAGATTGAGGAGGTCATGTGAAGAAGAGTACTTCTTAGTCCTAAACAAATAGCCTAGCTTCTTCCAGCAGCTACCGCTATTAATGAGGTGCGTTCTTGTCAGATCAAATCCTCGTTGACCTGGACTTCGCCTAGCCGAAGTTGACGGCTCTTTTTTAGAACTTGGTCATTCATCGAAGCCGGATGAGAGAAAGGACGCTTTTTGTTCGTCAAAGTACAGTACCGTTGAATTGTACAAGATAGGAGTGATATCCTCCAGGTCTCTCTTCAGCTGCTAGTCTTTTCTCCAACTCACTGGCAGAGATCGGCTTGTCATTCTTAATTTCTACAAGTCATTTTCTAAGTAAAGAAACAATGTCGGAGCCAAGATCGATCCCTGGGGAACACCTGCATTGACGTTGTGGGATGAAGAGGAGAACTCGCCAATTAAGACGAATATCTTGCGGCCAGAGATGTTGTCTCCCACCCATCTGCAATGCTGCTCTGGGAGGCCATAGGATGAGTTTGCCTAAGATCACAGCTCATCGAACGCTCTAGTGGCATCAGGTATAGTAGAGTTGAAGATAAGCTACGTTGAGTGCCTTCATAAAGCCGTCACCAGTCTAACGATTGAACTATCCGGGAATCGTCTTTCGGTACGCAGGTAGATCGCTGCTAAGACTTTACTCCAACTGCTGAGTGCAAGTAAATGCTCATGATTGCCAGCATCTGTCACCAGTTTGGCTGGCAGCAATTTTACCAAGAACAGTCGGATGCCAGGCAGCATGAGGCATTTTTCGGTGACGATGCCGCGTCGCCGTCGCGCATTTTTCTCAGCGCTTGCTCCGATCACGAAGAATCTTAATAAATTGAAGGCATCTAGGAATCCCGGAGGAGCAGCGGTGCGGTTGGGTGCCTCCGCGGCGAGCAAAAACTATCGAAATGAGGCCGGACCAGTTCTGACGGTCCGCGAGCCACCGGTGTTAATTGGAGCCGAATTTGGAGAGTGGCGGGCATTTTTTGAATGGCGACGGGCTCATAACGGGATGCGGCGAGGCTGATGCTGCTGCAGCGGAATGTGATGCTGACGGTGCTGGTGCTTCACGATCGTCGTTTGGGGAACTGAATGTTGGACATCTGTCATCCTCTTTACGTGTTCATGAGAAAGTTATTTTTTGTTTGGATGGGGATATTTTACACGGTACCAAAAATGTACACCTCTTAGCTTATAAGAAATGGCGGCAATTAGATTGACTCTACAGGGTTATCCAAATTAAGTGTCCACCATTAGTAACTTTGTTATTAGTGAAAATACAAAGTTGTTTGAATTAGCAAACTAGTAGCATTTTTAACGCTGGTAAAAATGAGAAATAAAAAAAACAATTGAGAGTCGTTATTTTGATTTTTTTCAGTAAAATAACATTTTTTTAAATGGAAACCCCTGTATATTATATTTTTTTCTGTTAAAGCATCAAATTTTAAACAAAAAAGCTTACAATAACTTTTCTCCTAGGTTACAAATTGTTGAAGTTATGGCCTCCAATCTGAAACAATTAAATTGTATCGACAAACTTTATTTTCAACATCAACTTATAATCTTACAAAATACAATAACAATTTTTTTTAAAGAAGATGCTCGAAAACACCACCTTGTTCTTCAATACATTTTTGGGCACGTTTTTCAACTGCTCGAACTGTCTTAAGTATGGTCCTACCATCTATCTGGGTTATCTTTTCCCTAACTGCAGTCTTTAACGCGTCAAGGTTATCGTACCTTCGCTTGTAAATTTGGTTCTTTAAGTAACCCCACAAGAAGTAATCAAGTGGGTTTAGATCTGGTGATTTGGGAGGCCACTGTATTGGGCCATTTGTTCCTATCCACTGATCATTAAAAGTAGTACTTAGAAAATGATAAGTACCTCTGGAGTTGTGGGCAGGTGCGCCATCTTGCTGAAAATGCAGATGAGGTCTACTTATAAGATCCAATTCGTCTAAGAAATTAGTCAGAATTTCTGACATAAATTCCACATATCTTTCACCAGTTAGGGTTCCCTCATAAAAGAACGGGCCAACAATTTTTGAACCAATTATACCGCACCAAACGTTGAAACTGAAACGGACTTGTGGGCCTCTTGGATGTACTAACAAAAGATTTTCTCTTGACCAATAATGGTGGTTTTTTCTATTAAACATTCCAGAATTTGAAAAATTTGATTCATCTGTCCATAAAAGGTAACGAAAGTTATTTACATTTTGGCGACAGAAGCTAAGATACCAATGGCAAAAAACAAGTCTTCTCTCTGGATCCCCTGCCAAAAGCGTTTGAACTGGTCGGTACTTATACGGAATAAATTTGTATTTTTTTAAAATCCTTTGAACAGTACCATAACTGAAATTAGAGTCCTTGAGAATATCTGCTATTGAATTCTCACGATAAGCTTCAAAATATCCAATAACTGCAATTTCCGTGGCCTCGCTTATTATGAATTCTTTTTTGCCCTTGTTTTAGCAAAAACATTTTCGTTGCCCCTAAATTTTCGATAAAGTCTCAGAAAATATCGTTCATACGGTTGAATGCGAGCGGGATATAATTCACTGTGCTCTCAAGGAGGATTTTCTGCACACTAAATAGCATTCTAACATATCACACTTTTCTTCATGGGAGAACATTTTTCTTTAAATTAATGACACAATAAAGCTGATAAACAAGTATTTACATTAATGTTTGACATTATTTGATTTTATCATTGTTTTCCAAAGCCTTCTAGTTGCGAGTATGTCCAGTTTAACAATTTGTCGCTTATCTTAATGCTGTCAAATCGCGAACGCCATGTTGTTTTCATAGCCGTCTTAATATTATAATACTGCAAATAATTAAAAATATCTATCGTTATTTTGACTTTATTTTTGACTTTAGCGGAAAAGTCATTATGAACTTTTTTGTTTAAAATTTGATGCTTTAACAGAAAAAAATATAATATACAGGGGTTTCCATTTAAAAAAATGTTATTTTACTGAAAAAAATCAAAATAACGACTCTCAATTGTTTTTTTTTATTTCTCATTTTTACCAGCGTTAAAAATGCTACTAGTTTGCTAATTCAAACAACTTTGTATTTTCACTAATAACAAAGTTACTAATGGTGGACACTTAATTTGGATAACCCTGTATACTTCTTATGCACCCGTTGGAGGTTTTAAAAGGATGAGACATAGATACCTGCATCACACAAGTTTGTGCTTCTAATTTATGTCAGCTTGTCAGTCCGTTTTTGCTGTACAACAATGCGTCATAAGTCGAAATATTAAGAGGACCACAACAGAACGCTGAAATAGCTGCCGAAAACGAAGTTTCAGCGATTTTTATTTTTTGAAATGAGTGATTTTAAACATATTGAAGCATATAATATTCTTTATAACCAACAATCGGCATTTTGTAAGATGAACTCAACTGAAACTGCAAGTGTGTTGGTAAATTGTAATTATTATTGCTGTGATTCTTGACTTGAAAAAAGCATTGGATACCATTGATTGAAATGTATTGTTAGCAAAGCTTGAAGTGTGTGGAATTTCTGGTAAAGCTTATGATTTGTTTTTCAAATACTCAATTACCACTACAAACAACAATAGGTATGGACTAAGATTTAAATGTAGGAGATATGAGTGAAAATATACTATTCCACGTTGGTACATTTATTTTACCTTATATGTGACTGCCAACAATATGCATGTTTGTAAACCACATAATCCAGAAAGTGATATTGTTTCAGGTACGTAGAAGAATTCTTCATTTGATCCAAGGAATCGAGTAAGTACAGTTTACTTTTAGCTATACATAGCTTTTGGCTTTATTTTGTGGTACAACGTGCACTTAGGATCTTGTATGCTCTACTATTGACTTACTAATAGGCTAGTTGACACTTTTTTAAGTAGGTCTTCAATAGTTAATATTCGTTCTATTAGACCAAAGAAACTAATGTTATATTTTTTAGATATGAAAAACAGTGGAGCTTTAATTTAAATTTACAGGGTGACTGAAGTTGAGTCATTAATTTTCAGATAATGATTGTAGAGGGAAGATAAACCAAAATATGTGTGTAAAAATAAAAAAAAAATTAAAAAAAAGTTTACCTTGTTTTATAAAGTATCCTCCCAACAAGTATTTCAGTGCGGACCTGTATTTGATCGTGAGGTCTTGGAGCACCGGCATGCCCTCTCCTGTGAGGTCTTAAGTCACCTGATTCACGAGCCCGTTGTACTACATTAACAAAGGCACCAGGGGTTGGTTGCACTCGATTGGGAAACCGATCCGCATAAACATGTGCCATTTTTTATTTCGTTTGAGCCACGCAGCAAACACCACTATTCACTCACGCGTTACCGACTGACACATCGACTGAATAAAAACATCGTGATCAGCGTTTCAAATTCTTACGCTTTTTTGTTTCAGATGGGATGAACCGATAAGGCGGATTATATCCGTTGTTGCCAAACACGAGCACATAATATTATTATTGAGACAGGGCGGTACTCAAACTTCTAAAGGGCTATAACTTTGTTACTTTAATTTTACCACAAAAATGTTAAAGGAAAAAAACACTTATTTTGATCAGATCTACTCACTGTTAAAATAAATGACTCAACTTCGAAGTCACCCTGTATATATTCTAAGTGACATATAAATCCGAACACCCAGTTTAAATGGTTTTATTTTAATAAAATTTTGTATAAGTACTTAATGAAGCATAATAAGTAAATGATAAAAATTTCAAAATGATTGCACTGCTTTAAAGCCCTTTGACCTTTAATAATGTGTGGATGCACCCTGATGTGCTACGCATTCTCCAACGCGCCTAGGCATGCTTCTGATCAGGTGGTCAATGTCCTCCCGTGGTATCTCATTCCAGGCAACCACCAACTCCTCTCGAAGTGCTTCTAGAGTCTGAGGAGGACGTTGCAAATTGAGGAATCTCCTACCCATCATATCCCACACGTGCTCAATTGGGGATAAGTCGGGAGATCTTGGTGGCCATGGTAACAATGTGACATCATTATGTTGAAAGAAGTCTATTGTGACTCTTGCAACATGTGGTCGGGCATTATCTTGTTGGAAAGTTGGATCTGTCAGGGTGTCAAGATAGGGTAGAAGATGGGGTTCCAGAACTTCGTGGATATAACGCTACGCGTTCATGTTACCTCTGATGAAGATTAAAGGTGACCTGGAACCATAAGCTATAGCACTCCAAACCATAACTCCAACAGCGTGATGAACATGTCTTTCAACAAAAAACTGTGGATTCCTCCTTTCATCACGTCGCCTTCTAACCCTGGCACGACCATCGTGCATGCCTAAACCAAATCGAGACTCGTCACTAAAGACAATACTGTACGATTCCTGATCCCAGAGTGACTGTTGTCTGCACCACTCAAGGCGATTACGTCGGTGTTCTCGAGTTAAAGGGAGGACCCAGTGTGGCCTGTATGAAAACAAGCCAAAACTTCTCATTCGTCGGTAAACACTTCGCATGCCAATAGGTCTTCCGTGTTCTGCAAACCATTCATTTGCAATGGACCTGGTAGTGGAGAAACGGTCCCTCAAGGCCAATAATCTTAGGCGGCGATCTTCACGGTCTGTTGTTCTACGGCGGCGTCCAGTGCCCCTTGCTCTTTGCGTACGGCCTTCTCGAAGCCATGCCTGACAACACCTAACCACAGTGTCTACACTTCTTTGCACTCTAACTGCAATTGCCCCAAAAGATAGTCCATTTTCCCGAAGTCCCACTATACGCCTCCTATCAAACTCACTAAGTTGACGAAATCGTACAGGTCTCCGTACTCTAGGCATCGTAACCGATCGTAAA